CATATTACTTCTGCTGTGTGTATGTGTAGTACTCCTGGGTGTGCTGGACCAGAAAGTGGGTGAGAGGACCTTTCAAGCTAACATGGAGCGCCGGTTGGCCCTGTTACTCGGTGAAGCAGTAGGATCAGTCAGACGGGTGAAAAGGGCCACCACCATAGGCAACAGTAGTGTTCAGGTAATATGCTTATAGATTCAATAATCATTTTACTCAGCTTATATTTACAGCTCCGTAGCCGCAGGCTCACTGGGCCCCGTTCCACATGCCACGAATGTAAGCCATATCTTTATTTCAGAATAAATATTTCATATATATAATCACATAAAAAATGCAAAGAAATGTCTTATTTCTTTGTGTTCTGTGTCTCTCACTTTCATTCTCTTTGCAACTAAGCTTTAAGCTCTTTCAGGGTCACAAATACTTTTTTACTTTTTACATTTCTTGTTCCCTATATAACAAAACTTCTAAAAACTCTGCAGAAGCATCCTTCCTTGTACCATTTGTACCATTATACCCTGATACAAGCTCTATCTTGCCACCTTTTCTGATTACAGAGGGGTCATTATGTGAGTGTGACACTGTTTGTAACCAGTGAAAGCCTTAGTGCTTTACTAATCAAGCTCTAGCTTTTGTGGGTCCTCTCTGCACCTGCTCATCTCCTCTCTAAGGGGACAGGATACGGCTCGATCTCCATGGCAACACCATCCCATTCATCTCAGGGGCAAGCCATTCAAAGACCACAACCTCATGTTGCCTATTTTTTTGTCCTTATCCCAGTCCTCCTCATACTCGATGGCTCCTAAGAGCATATCAGTTAATAATTGTGTCGTTTTCTCGGTCTGTATCCTGCTGTTGGGGGGCTAAAGAGTCAAAAAGTGAATGTTTGTCACAGGCACAGAGACAGTGGTAGGTAAAGATTCGGAAATCAGAAGAGAAGCAGAAAATTCAAACAAAAGTAACTGGTCAAGCTGAGACAAGATGACTGTCAGTGCTAAATATCATCATGTCCATCCATTTAGGACCTTTGTTTTTGCCTCGGTGAATTCTACAGAATAATATAGAAAAGAGAAGCACATCAGCGGTGAACCTTTGCTGTCTGCATTTCTGCTAAGATTAGATCTCTAATTTTAGCTCTGGCATCCTTTCTGCTCTTCCAAATGATATTTTTTCAAATCCATAAATATGATAATGTGTTATTCACGGAAGCCTCATTGTGCGGTTACGTTCCATCCCCTCTTGATAGAAAGCTGTTATATAAGAAGCCTGTTTTAATATTTCAAAAACACTGATCTCCGAGTGCCTTATTGGATGTAATGAAAATGAAGTTACTCAGATTGAGCGTCTGAACATCTGCCTTGCTTTCTTGCACATAAATAATTATGGTGTATCTCAAACAGATGCCCCTGACTGTCATGACAGAATGAGTGTAGTGTTGTCACCACTGAGAATATCTTATGAGTCTGCCCAGACAGATGAAAGGGAGGTTGAATTTGGGCTGTGCAGTAACACACATTCACACTGCCCTCTTTCCACTCTAATAAGCAGACACGGACTGGATTAAACCCTGAATGAGGGAGTCTGCCCGGCCGTTTTTCTGTGGCAGCCCAGGCATGACCTGCACTTTACTCTTTTCAGTAATACAGACAGCAGACTGCGCTTGTGCCTCAGGGCACCATCGGGGAGGCTGCACAAACACAAACAAATCAGTCAAATTAATCGGTCAAAAAGACAAATCTGACAGAATTTAAAAATATTTGAGCAATGGATCTCCAAGAGGTATGCGAAATGTGACCTAAAATGATGGTTATGTGTCTGTGTGTGTGTATTTGGACCATCTTTACATATCTTGAGGGACCAAAAACTGGAAATTTACTATACTTGTGGGGACCAACGGCTGGTATGGGCACAAAATCCCCATCTGCACAAGTTTGAGGCTCAAAATGTGGTTTTAGTGTCAGAGTAAGAGGCTAGGGAAAGCATTAGATGTCCCCACAAGGATATGAAAACGCAACGGTGTGTATGTGTGTATATTGTGGACACAGGAGTCAGTCCCTATTTTAAAAACTACATTTTGTTTAGTTTGTAGATCTCTGTAACTTTCAGGTGCTTGTATAAGCATTAAATACAGCAAAGTGGACTCGAGAAGGTCAAATGGTTTGAGTCTCGAATCTCAAATCTGTCGTTAAAGATAAAAAAAACAACAATGATTAATGTTGTAAGGCTTGGCAGAAAATGAGGTGCCACTGTCTCCATTAAAAAGTCATCTTTACTGTTAAGATTGTGAGACTTTGCCCATTAGCACCTTCATCAGAAATTCCATTTTTAATTTAGAGTGCGGTCGTCCTTCACGAATCCATTTTTAGAAGCATTTTGTCATTTTTGTCTCGAGCACAGTCTCTTATCCACAAATGTTTCCAATTGGAAACTTTGTCGTATAAGGACACAAATGGGAACATTAAAGCATGCACGTGGAAATGAAGTCCCCTGTTTGTGTTCTTAAGGAGTGAACCAAGAAAAGAAATGCCCTTTAACACTACTAACGACCACAAAACTGAGAAGTGACAGCCTTTGTCCCTTAGCAAATAAACAGAGTCCGTTATGCTCCAGCCTTTATTTCCCCCCGCACCATCTGGAAATGCTTACCTTTGGGGGAAAAATAAGATTACTGGCAGTTCGGTAAAAGGGCTTCCATCATATAGGAGTTACTAGGTCTGGCAGTGACTGTTATTGTATGACAGCCATCAAATCTGGGGTGTGATCAGGAAGATCTGTGACTCTAATAAAAAGCAAAAACACACCTGTTTTTCTTTTTAAGGTCATCTCCTTATGCACCTCTGAAGCACTTCCATATATCCTGCTATGTTTATATTGCTCCCTGGAAGCAATTTTCTGTCCCCTTCTACTTGCTCCAGAGAGCTCGCTCTCCTCCACTGTGTCAACACAGCATCCCTTCAACTTCAATGCACTGGTGCGCAATTGCACACTTGACAGTATGGGTCATTTGCAGCTAGTGTTTTCCCTCAGATGCCTCAGGAAGTTACAGTAGAGCTCCTTCGACAGTCTGACCCTGGAGGATAAATTTGTGATGCATAAAACATTGAATGTTTTGGAGGCGGGGTTTAAGAAGATCTGCTCTTTCCTTGCCTTTTATCTATCACATCTGTTGCTTTAAAGAAAATTACCCATATCTGTTCAAAACTGCATTCTGAAACACTTTACCAGTCCTCCTTGTTTTAATTCCCAGGTTGTAAGCACAAGCCGGTTGGCGGGTACTGACCTCCCCCTCGAAATAGTGTATTTTGTGGAGGGGCCTAGTGGTCAGAGGATGCCTGCAGATCAGACTGCTAGCCTGCTTAACAGCCTGGATGTCCAAAGAGCTGCTATTGTCCTGGGATATCGTGTACAGGGCATATTGGCACAACGTAAGTATGTCTCAATAAATAGATAAAAAAGATTATCTATGATAGTTCAAGTCAATCAAACACTCCCGTGTGAATTTATTTAATTTGTTAGCGTGTTTTTTCTTTTTTCTTTGATGCTGGTAGGACGTTTTAGTGTATGTAAACAAAAAAAGACTAATTATTTTAGCTTCACCATCATTACTGTTATTTTAAAGGCTAATTGTTCTCAAGATCCTAATAAGAGGAAAGGATACTGACTCCATGTGTATCTTTACATGTTTATAGTAACATTTGAGCTAATTATCTCCCTTTGTACACGCTGCACCCAAACCCTGTCTTCCTTATTAGGAATCTAAACAACGGATGAAGGCTAATGAGAGCCCCTCGAGGGAGTTCTGTCTCCGTTCTGATTGCGTTTTTTTATGGTGCTTTCCCAGAGGATGAAGTGACTGTTAATTAAAACCAAAGTAGCGTTGTGTCTGTCCAGAGAGAAACGAATCCAGGTTATTTTCTGTAGCTACGGTTTATAGATGTCCTTTATAGATTCAGTTTGATCAAGGCTGAAAATCAATAAAGATGAGCTCATTAGCATATACGAGTGTCACTGTTAATAAATACAGAACATGTGAAGAGCAGCCAACCTGTGGGAAATACTGGTAACAGAAAACAACCTGGATTCTAAACTAACCTTCTCCTCCTGTAGTCAATATATGAACTTAGCAGTTTATGGTTTCTTTGTTTTTTCTAATCACAGCTGTCGAAAAAGTGACATCTTCACCCTCTGACAATGAGAACACAAACATGTGGATCATCATCGGGGTTGTGATCCCCCTCCTCGTGGTCATCGTCATCATTTCCATCCTTTACTGGAAGTTGTGTCGGACAGACAAGCTGGAATTCCAGCCGGACGCCATGACCTCCATCCAACAAAGACAAAAGGTAAAGTTCCATCTTTACTTTACAGATGCTTTCCTGCATCAGTGTTTCAAAATTACTTTTGTGCCGTAAATTTTATATTTGGAATATGGAGGAATAATTATTGTTAGAAATAGTTTGTTAATTAGGTTTACTGGATTAATCCTGGGGTTATAAATCAGCATGATTAATAAAGGCTATCTGTCGCTGCCATGACTGTGCTGCAAGACCTCACAGATTTGGACATCATGATGCCGTCTTCTGGATGAGAATAGTAAAACTTTAATGATTCCAGCA